CAGACTTTCGTGTTCTCGATTTAACGTCACAATACCCACTAGAGCCATTCCTCTTTAAACTCGGTCGTGGGGCAAGATGGCGGCCGATTTTCCGTATTTTGACTGGGCACAGAAAATTGAAGATTTGAGCAAATAAAAAAAATTTTGCACAGAAATACTCCAAAAAATACGCTTATTTCGTTAAGCGAAAATAAAGTTTTGGGTTTAGGTGCAATGTATTTTTAATGTAATAGGTATTAAATCTCAATGTAGTTAAAGTTTTCCAGTTAGGTTTTTTTTCAATTATTTTCCACGCGTGAAAGTTTGGACGAGTTTTTGTTAACTCTCAAGTGTTCACGTGTATAAATAAACTTACACATTTGCTTACTTACATACTTACTTACCCCTTACTGACTTCGAGGCTGTGTCTATTTGTTCTTCCTTCGAATCATAATAAAGTTTTGACTTAACTATTTTTGTGCCAGAAAGTAACCTTGCCTTTTCATTTGGAAAAAAAAATTAAATGACCCTCTTAGGTTCACTGTGCAAACAAACAAAGTGGCTGTTTTTTCCGGCTCTTGAAACAAAAAGTCATTCTTGATTCTTAATAAAGTGAAATCCTTTTGCTATATAGTAAATCATTTATTACCAAGCTTGTTCGGTCAAGATGACTGGATATTAACCTCGTTCTTTCTTTGCGTTTTCATTCAGTTTAGCAGGCCAATTGACACATATGGTGGCCAGCCTCCTAGGTGGCTAATGTCTAGATTATATTGAACTGTAACAAAAACTACAAGTTTTTGAAATTCAGTCAGTTTCAAAGATATTTGCTGAGCGACGCGCCCTGAATCAGACCCCACCTGAAACCCCGATCTCTGTACTAAAAATTATACTCCGCGACAGTCTTGGACGGTACTCTAGGGAGTTTCCAGCGTAGCAAGCGTACCATGCAACGGCTACAACGGAGGTCATTGGCTCTCAATCGAGATTGTGAATCACGTTGTTTTATGGTTATTCTTACCCTGGTCCCAGAGGTCCTCTTCTCTCTAAAAAAAAAAATAGGATAAATCTCTTCTCCCAAAAAAAATCGATCATCAAATCTGTCACTTTTCAACAGCCAATAGGAAACGTCAGTATCAAACAAAAAACAATGATATAATTTGGATATATCAACGGTTGAAATGGTAAATTGGCCACCGTAACGATTACAAAAGCTGACGTTTCGAGCGTTAGCCCTTCGTCGGAGCGAATAGAAGAATTGTGGGTTGTGTGTGCTTTTAAAGGCAGAAAATGGAGCTACGTTATTGGTGGGAACATGGCAACGAGAAAAACAAGAATAAATTAGTTGAATGAAAAGCGTTCGTTGATCGTGGGATTTAGACTGCCGGTTTGAAAGCCAATCAGACTTGATAGCCAATCAGATCGCGACGATCATCAGCTGAATGCACCAAAGTGAGGTTCTCAATGATCTCCACCAGTGGGACAGAGCTGAATAATGAAATGCTTCGTCAGCGGGTTGCCGTTAACAGCGCGGGCTCAAGTGTCCTAGTTCTAAAACTTAGCGAAATTAGCGAATAATAGTAAGGGCTGACTTTTAAAACCGAGGAACTCTGTTTTCGTCGAAGGCATTTTCCTATTTCCAGAGGTTTTAAGGAGAAAATTAATTTTTGAAACTTTTCAGGGGGTGCGCCAACTTTTGGAGGTTGTTCTGTAAAAGAAAAGCGGCAAGGAAAACGACACCTCGAAGCGACAGAATAGGAAATCATATTCATGCGACTCAAAATCCGTGTTTCCGCGGCAAAATCTAGCGCATGCGAGCACGTTATTCAGCTCTGTCCACCAGAGGTTCTCTCGACTGCTCGCTGCTTCGTAGCTCGTTGCCGGCGCTTGGCGCCGATTGTTTTTAGGGAGAAGAGGTTTATGCTATTTTTTTTTAGAGAGAGGAGAACCTCTGGGACCAGGGTAGGTTATTCTCAAACTTGGCTGGAAAGCAGCAGTGACGGTGCCTCTACACGAGAATTTGCACCGGCTGCTGGAAAGTGTTCGAGGCGAGTACAAAGGGAGTAAGGAGTAAATTACATCTCAAATGATTTTTTTTATTTTATACGTGCTTAAAATTAATCTCGCGCTTCTTTCGCACGTTTCTCTCGCGCGTGACGCAAGAGTGATCTGTTCCCCGCGCGAGGAAACTTGGTCTTCTCTTTATGTGGTAGAAAACCATACGGTGGCCTTCAACTGTCACATCAAATTAAAGTCACTCACATCAAATTAAAATCACTCGCATCAAATTAAGATCACTCACATCAAAATAAAGTTACTCACATTAAACTGAAATCACTCACATCAAATACAGATCGCTCACATCAAATACAAATCGCTCACATCAAATTCAAATCGCTCACATCAAATTCAAATCGCTCACATCAAATTCAAATCGCTCACATCAAATTCAAATCGCTCACATCAAATTCAAATCGCTCACATCAAATTCAAATCGCTAACATCATTATNTATTCTCGTGACCTTAATGTGTGATTCAGGGGTGATATTGTAAGGAGAAATTAGATGCTGGTCACTCTTACGCTGATCATTTCCTTTATTCTCGTGACCTTAATGTGTGATTCAGGGGTGATATTGTAAGGAGAAATTAGATGCTGGTCACTCTTACGCTGATCATTTCCTTTATTCTCGTGACCTTAATGTGTGATTCAGGGGTGATATTGTAAGGAGAAATTAGATGCTGGTCACTCTTATGCTGATCATTTCCTTTATTCTCGTGACCTTAATGTGTGATTCAGGGGTGATATTGTAAGGAGAAATTAGATGCTGGTCACTCACAGGGGTTTAAGGGTTAATATAGTTACACAATCCATGTAAGTTACCTTTAGTTCTCCTTGGTTCCTACTGTCATAATTTTTGTTCTGGTTTGCTATTCTGATAACACAAGCATTTGTGTAGAACTTATGTAATTTGGGTTTGGTTTTAATTTGTCCAGTCAAAATTGTGCTCAATTATAATTCTAACCAAACATGTTTGGTAAAGCTGATTATTCTGTGAAAAGACAGCACCTGATTACTGTCAGGTACTTACGTCCCTTTGATTTGAAGCTCACTTTGCTGAACCTTTTTTAATCCTAACATCAGTATGCACATTCTCCATACTGTTCCCAACACATTTCCCAAGGTGCTGACGAGGAGAATTTTTTAAACAATATTGGTGATCACTTCCTGTATTGTTGTGACCTTGATGTTTAATTCAGGGGTAATATTGGAAGGAAAATTAGATACTAGTCCCAGGGTTTAAAGGATTGAATCAAGTAGCATCCTGGATTTTTTTCATTTGCACTTTTGGACAAATAAATTGAGTGATCAAGTCTGCCATGCTTTTACATAAATTTTCCCCTTTTTTTCTCCTTTTGACAGAAAAACCTGTGTACAAGGGCCCAGACCCTCCCCCAAACAGATTTAAAATCTGACCAGGATACCACTGGGATGGTGTGAACTGCTCAAATGGCTTTGAGAACAAGTGATTTGCCATGTTAGTCAACAAAGCTGCTGTGCAGACAGTTGCATATAAATAGAGCACTATGACATGTGATTGGGAAAGTACATCAGTTGAAACAGGGGCTGTTTTTAGTGCAGAATGTACTTTTGGCATGGTTGGGTGGGTGGCAAATGTTCAGCTGTCATGTACATGTCTGATGTAAAGGAAGAAATAATTTTAGTACAACACAAACCCAGAAAAGCATTAATTTATTTTTTCACCTCTCCTTAACATACACCTTGAAAATCAATCCCTCTGTTCTTCACTATGTAACCTTGTGAGATTTGTGCCACAAAACAGATGATTCGATAGATTGGTCACCAAAATGTGTCACAAATGAAACCAATGAACCAAACTTTCCTTTGTTAAAATTGTTTGAAAAGGAACATTTTCTTCAAATCTATAAAATAACACAAGTGTAAAATGTAATTTGTTTGAGAAGTTAGAGAGCTTCAAAGCAGCATACATGGAAATAAAGAAATATTAGATTGTTAAAAATTTTAACACTAGGAGTGTAAAATTTAAAATTTGCCAGATAAACAAAATTTTAAAAGGTCTACACCTGAGCCATGCTGCCCATCCAGCTCCAGCTTATCCCAGTTTCTGTCAAACAAAGTGACTAGGAATACTGCAAGTTCTCACTGGATGGGAATCAAGTCTATTGCAGGTTAAACCCCCCTCCCCTCCTCCCTTGCCCCCCAGCATTATTTCAGGCTTCCTTAACAGGTCACCAGTACTCATCTATACTTCTGGGTGCAGAAAGGCACTGTGAGAGTAACTTGTTTGACCAAAGAGCACAATGCAACAACTCAGCAAGGTCTTGATCACAAACTTCTGAACCAATAGTCCAGTGCACTAACATCAGACTACTGTGTCTTCCGCATGGACAAATGGTTTGTTCCAGCTCTATGATTATTTTGTAGAGTATGAAGTATGCAAGTATTGCATCAAACCCTTATAAGCATGAAATGAGTACAATCATGACAGGAAAAACCACAAAAAAGCATGTTAATTAACAAACTTACTGTTCATGACACTGTTCGTGACAGTTACTTCAAAGCCATAGCTTATTTGACCATAAAAATAAATAACAGCCTTACACTGGTATTAAATACAATCTGTAAAATAATAGCTGCTAAAACTGCTAAAACTACTAAAACACACTTAAAGCCACTGAGACTCAAAAAGATTACTTCAATGCTGAGCCACACAAAAGTGCCATATATTTTATGGATAATACAAACAAATGAAAGCCTTTGGTTTGTCTAACTATTTTAATCATTAAAATAATGGCAGAAAATACCAATTCGCCATTTTCAACAACTAAACATTAACACTCAGTAAATATTTCCGAGAGGAAAAGCCATCTACACCTGATATCAACCTAAAGAAAATAAAAAGGAAACACTAGGTGAGCTTGGATGAAGTACAATTAACCATGTATTCAAAAGTAGTTGTTGAAAATGCTTAAAGTTTGTGTGTGTGTAAGTGTAAGGTGTTAAATAAAAAAAAAAAAAAGAGGTGACCATTAAGAATGGAAGTTTTTGCATGAATTCAGCAAGAATATCTCTATTTTGGAGCCTCATGAAATTGCTTCTCACACAGGTATAAAATTCTCATAACAAAGGCCCTTGTTGCACTCCTTATTTTAACTGGTTATGTGAGAAGAAAAAAGACTTCTATGAAGTATGTTCTACTCATCCAACATTGCTCGGGACTAGTTCTAGTTCAGGAAGAAGTGTGTGGGCTTGAAGATATCATTGGCCTTGAGTTTCCCAGTAATAAGTGTGTTGATCAGTTCAAAGCTTCATAAAGCTGGCATTTGAAATTTGGAGAATTGGTTTGTTCAAATTCCTACCTCCAGTAATGCCCTACAACAGTGCTGGATTTGATTGTCAGTTTTTTTCGTAAAAGTCAAAATCAGCATCAACTGTGAAATTTAAGTCATTAACCAAACTTAAAAAAAAACCTTGACCTTGTAAACCTTCTGGTCTGAGGCATTTGCTAGCAAAAATGGACCTCTTATCAAAAAAGATAAAACACCTTAAATCCAATGGAAAGACAAGACACTTCTCCTTTAAATTCCTCACCCTTGCCAGGAAAGGTTCAAATTCCCTACTCCATGGGCTCAGTACAGTCAAATTCCTATGGGTTTCCCAGGGAGAGAGGAAGTGTTGAAGCTTCTAATTTATCAGGCAAGTTTTAAGTGAACTAAGCCTAACATTACCTGGTTAATTCTTTACCAAGAGGACAATATCGCTTCTATAATTTCCAGTTTCAGTGTTATTTCTTGTAAGAGCACTTCTATCTCTTCCAGATTCCATTTTATCTCTTGTAAGTTGAACAATTCCTCACCAATTATCGTATATTGTACATTTCATGAATTTATTTTAATTTGTAATTTGTTCGTGAACTTTTTTCGTATTTCATATTTCTAAATACATTTTGTTATACTAATTATGTCTTAAGCAGGCCACCATTCAAACCAGCTTGAATAACGTTCACAGTATAATACACAATACCTCTTTGTCCAAATCCTCCTGTGGGGTTTTAGGCCCTGGATTGGGTGCACTATCCATATTAGAATCTGTAACAAAATAATGTAGTAAAACTCCCGTGAAAATATGTGGGTGCGGTAATTCCAGAACACCAAAACTTTTTTTTTTCCTTTTGAATTTGTAAAATCTCAAAGTAAAAACTTCCAATCGATGATGGGTCCAAATGACCAAATTGATGTTGACGTGCAAGATGCTTTAACAGCGATTTCGACTTTCTTTTGCGAAGTCGCGCGCACTTTTGACCTGAATTGGTTGAGATTTTGTTTACAACTCTTTGTACCCATTATACAACTTCTTATCGCTGATTTGTTTAATTTCGAAACAGATCCGGCCGCTTTCACTAGTTTGGATATCTCGTAGATTAGTACTTTCACATCCGAGGAAAAATGTGCATGGGGTAAAGGTAACTGGGAAGTGATTAATCGTTATCTTCGCATAATTTTCTGGGTAAAGTCTTCCAGTCAAAACATTAAAAAAAATTGTATTTCTGACACCTGAGGACTATTACTTGTATGCAAGGTGAGAAGAAAATGTAGCAGTTGAGAAAAGTACATTCAGAATTTTTTTTTTCGAGCCTCTCGAAAAGCCGCAGTAAAGTCAAACAATTTTGCATTGAAAGACACGTGCAAAATCACGCAATAATGCGTTTCCTTCTCGATCGTCTGCGCTGAATTGAATCGATTCTCTCTCTTGAGGCATCATTTCATAAAATATTCTGAGGAAGAAAAAGTTATAAAATAACAGAGAAGTACTCTCACCTGACGACAACCTTTGCAATGATAAGGAACAGTATTCCTTCCCTTTAACCAAATGCTGTCAATGTGTTGTCAGATCGTAAAGGTGTATCGAAAATAAACATCGAGGGTCACATGACCAAGTGAGAACTCGGCATAAGTTATGTCGAGCACTGGACTGGACTAGTAAAACGCGGACTAGTAAAACGTGGACTAGTAAAACGAGGACTGGT